TTTTCTCTCTCACCAATGAATACACTTCACCCCAACCCCGCTCCATAGAGTGTTTCAGGTGCGTAAACACAAGCTCCCCTTTTGCTTGAAAACACCGTCATGGGTGGAAACATGGGGTAACCTGGAATTTTACAGAAATAGAAGTAACAGAACAATCTAAATCTCAATGTTTCAAATGAAAGAAGACTTACAACTTCCTGAGCAGCAGAACCACTTCAACATACGCCCAACACCTACATCTGAGCAGCGCTGTCATTGCTGTCTGCTAACAGCGTTGTCTTCTTCCCGACCATACAGCAGAACAGAAGGACGCCTGAACAAGCTAAAAACCGCTCTGGGCTGAGCTGGTATCAGCACTGCTTCTGCTAGGCTGTGCGGAGGAACAAGCAAGCGGATCCCGAGCTGCAAAGGGTGGTGGTCAAGGCCAGGTTGGATGGAGCTCTGAGCAGCCTGGTCTAGTGGAAGATGTCCCTGCTCACGGCAGGGGGGTTGGAACCAGATGAGCTTTAAGGTCCCTTCCAATCCTTGCCATTCTATGATTCTGTGATTCTATGAGATTATTAAGGGCTTGCAATGCAGAAGGGGTATTTATGCTGACGTTACTGAGAGCTTAAAATGCAGAAGGGGTATTTGGTGTGAGATGGTGAGTGAGGTACAGCGTGTGTGCAGAGGCAAACAGCAGAATAACTCATGTTCTTACGTAGTCCTCTGGAAAAGAAACCCTCGACAGCTTTTGAAAATAGCTGCCAGACCACTGGGGGAAGAAAGGAGACTCACAGAAGACACTTTTTCTGTAGGGCAAAAGGAATCTATACCAAAAAAGTAGGAGATCTCAAAGGGGAGAGGGAAGAGAAAGCCCAGAAATCCAAAACAGAAAACACTGACCTAGCAACACGGCAGGATCTCTGTTCAATAGGGAGTAGGAGAGAATTGTTCTTGCATCAGCAGGCATTCAGAGCATGCCACATAAGGAGATGGTGAAGTTGGAGGACACTGCTGGTATGCCCTACCGCAGCAACGTGCAGCATTGCTGTCACCAGCACTGTAGAACTTGATCAAAACTTCTTTTGAAAGCTGCCATGAGATAGAAGGTATGCAAAAAGTCACCTTCCATAGCATGCATATTTCTACTCACACTGAACACCATGTCTCATGAAAACACACATTTTGTAATCTACTTGGAGTCTTACTCACAGATTTCTTTCATCATCAGAATACCTATCAACCGCAGCACAGTTCAGAACGTCACCATTACTCATCCTAATACCAGAGAACATACACAAGAATGCCTTGAAGCAGCAGTTACTGTTAGTAGCGTTGATTAAGCCAGTTGTGAGTTACAGGCAGACACACAAAAAAGCAGGGCTAACCACGCACTAATTACAGAAGCAAAACTTCCACCTCCCAAGTGCTTTTGATAGAGGAAAAAAGAAATTGAAAGTCAGTTGTTTAGTTGTTTTTTTTTTAATGAAGTGTTGCTGAAAATCATTAGCTGAACAACAACAGCATTTTCTAGTTACAATTTAAAGTGAGTAGGATAAAGAAAATACAAATAATAGTATAAATAATATCAAGCAACAGCCTTTGCAGAAATTGGTTAAGGCAATGGCTATAACTGACCCTACAAATTCTACTTCTATATCTACACATACAAATCTATACATTCCATAAATACAGCATCCCTTAAATTTTACTCCACTGATGCGCTATTCAGTATGGGATGCCTCAGATTTTACTGCGGATTAGAATCTTCCGTTTTCTCATACAAATCCACAACACTCGCACCAGAAACTCACTTATTGACAAAACCTAGAGAGGAATTAATGCTGGGTGGCACTAACAGCAGGACACTCACAGCTGGTGTGCTGCCTTCCTTACCTACTGCAGGGATTTCTGCATCAGCCGATTCTCCGTCACCCACGCTGCAACTCTTAAGCATAACGAGGAGGACTAGGGTTCTATTTCAGCTTTTCCTCTTGATTTCTCTACGTTTTTAGACTCACGTCAAACACTTGGTCCACATTTGGTCCTTTTATTAACAGTAATTTTACAGCTAATTATAGAGATTGTAAGTAGCAAATGGAACTACGATGCCACATCTTTCCCGTCTCTTCATGGGATGCCAGGAAGAACTCGATTCATTTTTGAGGTAGATTAATCTTGACCCTAAAATGTAAAAGGCAAAAAAAGGAAAAACAAGTCAGCCACAGGCCCTTTCCCAAAGCTGGTCATGGTTTCAGCTGTGAAGAAAGAAAAGCATTTTGAAATGCATCTAATACATTAAAAAAAGCCACAACCAAACACCTCTGATGTACGTTACAATGGTCTTTTGAAAAGCACTTAACAGAACGCAGGTTCTCTGGCAAACACTTCGCAGATTACGAAAGCAGACCATGGAGGGTTTTAAAACTTTTTTTTAACACATATAGCTACAAAATGTTCTTAGTTAAGTGACAAGTCTATTAAACGTACCCACCTCGTTTTTCCAGATTCTATGCCCCAAGCATATATTTGGGATTAAAAAGACAAGACTTACTACATCTTTTTCTTACCAAGTTTTCACTATCTGGCAAATCATTGGGTTAAACTCTCCAAAAGGATTAGTACAACTGTACAGTGCTTACTCCATCGGCATCAGTCTTACTACACCTTATTGTAACGCAGGCCTAGCATTGTTATAAACATCATTTTTGGCATTTTTTGAAGACTGTGGATAGTTTCCAAGAGATACCCACCTGTAGCTGGGCAAACGGTTCCGGCTGACCATTAGATTTCCATGGCAAGCGGGAAAATGAAGCATTTCTGGGCTTCCTTCCTTTCATCCATGTTTGCAAGAGAACCAGCGGCACACACCCGCTGCAGGAGACACGGGTGGGAAGCTGTACCCATCCTACACAAAGAGAGGGCAAGGCCATTCTCCGTTCCTTAGGGTATCACAGCAGACTCAGAGGACCTTATTGTACCACCTCTAGGAGCCACCTCAATGAGAATAAAGACTGTAACCATTAGAAAGCCAAATGAGCATTTACCATCAACGTTTCTGTTTGTTTTCAAGGGGAACTGCTGAACTCCAAAATAAAGGACTCTTGGAGATTCATCTAACCCCAGCACACTTGTAACAGCATGATCTGCCACGTGATGGAAGCCACAGAACTTTATCTAATTAATGATGGTTGCTGAGAATCCTGCATTTCATAACGAGCTACAGCATCTAGAGCGGGTTGGAAGGCTGCAGTTAGAGTCTCCAACTCCGTGTCACACTTGCTTTGGCTTGCAGGACAAACACAGAAACAGTTTAAGATGATGGAGACTGTAACATGCCTCCTGTCTCATCTGCATCTCATTCTGCAGAGGACGACCATTACTCATCAGAAGGAGGAACTCCAACTCCTAACTTCCTCCATAAAAGAAAACTTCAGTCCTGAGAAGTTTCATGTTTGGTATCACAGAAAGTAAAACAAAGGCAGAGCAGAGGGAACAGAGTACGTGGGGTATTTCTGGTGAGATCAGAGCTGAGTTTGTCTCACACCACCTAGCGCAGATCGGAGCTGTTCTGGTCACACATACCGAAACTGCTCTGCACGGTTTCCACATCCCTGATTCAGAAAGACACTTAAGTATACACATAACCTGTGAAATATATGTTTCATTACAACATGTAGTTTACACTTGAAGCTAGCGGCACCCTCTAATTCTAACCAAAAATAATACATTACACTTCTGGCATGATCATGCCACAAAATCCAACTGGCAGGTGCACAGGGTGTAGCTCTGGACATCTGGCCTAGCTTTGTTTTTTTTCTCCCGAGAACCCAGTAAAAGGACAGGCAAGCATTCAACACGGACAAAACCCCCAAAGCTTTACAGGTTGGCTTTGTTGCTATCTTACAGGACACACTGCAGCTCAGAGCAGTACGGAGGAGGTGTGGGAGGACACACGATGAGACAAACCCCCTCATGTCCTCCCCACCTCTGCTTCAGCGTTACTTCACCTTTCATAATAGTTTTCCATGCCTATACAACATTCCTAGCAATTGCTAACTAAGTACAGGCATGGAGGGTTTAGAGAATAAGCTTTAAACCATGCCTTAAGGGTTAATATATGAGTGCTCAGAATGGAATTCTGAGAACAACTGTGCTCTACACCAAAAAATGGCACTTTATTATTTCCAGTGCTTTCGACTAATCCTGAATTGAGATAACGCTAAACAGACCCAACTAGTTCAAAAAAGAAGGCAACATTCAGCTAGCAAAGTCATTCATTGTAATATTTATTCTATGAAATGAAGAAAACAGAAGATTAAGAACTGTTCCATACATTTCATAAAATACAGAGAAAGATATTGTCACAAATAAAAACCAGGGAATAAGCAAGCAAAACCCCCACTGAAAATCCACTCTCCACATTGCACCATATACACACAAAACACACACAGGAGAAGGAGCGGTCTCAGGGAAGTGGCAGGTTACCTGTCAGTATCTTGGAAGGGTAAATCAACCCCCAAGACATTTGCCACGGCCTCTCTCATTGTAAGACCGCATCGATTGTCTTCCTTGCCACCAGTTCTTGGCATGACCTTGCTCTGGGAATCCAGGACAGCACAGCAGAATTCACACGAAGCTGCAGGCTAGGAAGATACCAGGGCCCAAAGCGTAGGCAGATACAGAGAGATAGCAGGGCACGATAGGTGGGGGGAGATGGCAGTTGTTCCACTGCTGGCAGCAGGGTGGAGGGAGATGGTTCAGCTATCTCACCACGAGCACGGACGGGGCGGGGGGGAAACGCATCCTGCGAGAGAAGTATCAGCAGAAGCAGGGAATATATTTAGCACGCCTCTTGAAGAGCCCCAACAACAAAACAGACACGCTGCATGGTAAAAGGATGCTGAAAGCAACATCTTTATTTAGGTTACAAATTACATTACTATAGACCTTCTTACTGAAAGCTTTGGATCCAGTTCCTTCTCCTTGACCTACAGTACTCCACTTGGCTTTAGACCTACAGGACTCCATTTGGCTTTAGCAAAGCTGTTACAAGATCCTCCTCTTGCTTTTATTTCACAGAACCTCTCAGACTCCCCCAGCGGTTACTAACCACATAACTACTGACCACAAAGCCAGTGTGGTTCTGGGCAGCCCCCATCACTTACTGGGAATGCCCAAAAGCTGCCACAGCTGTATTTTGGGGAGGATGGTGTCGAGAAAGGAAGAACAAGGCTCCGCTTACACAAACACCTACTACCCCAAAAGCCTCACTCCATGCAGGCTTAGGAACACCACAATCAAAGAGTTTCACGTGCGGAGGAGCAAAGAGAAGACAGCGGACTGGGATCCTTCCCCCTGCACCCCGGGATGCATCCACTTCTCTGACAGCAGCATTCTTCTGCTGGCTACCAAGCTATCTCTGCTGCAGTGCGGAAGGTTCTCCATCGGCCTCCTGCGAATGATGCACCACGGGGGAAGATCATTAGTTACAAATGTGGTTTTCACGTTGTTTCTTAGAAACAAAGCCAGGAATTCCTACTTTTTAAAAATCTACAGTAAAGTGTAATTTAACCTGTAGCATGAAATATTACAAAATTAGAACATGTGAGATACAGAACTGCCCGTGCTACACTAACTCTTTTCTTTCGCATGTACGTATCAGGAATATGACTTTCTATACCGTGATCTTTTCACCTTTCAGTCCCCAGAAGAACCTTATGTCATTCCCTGGACAAGCACAAATGAGGCAGAAAGAAGACTCCACAGGAAATTCCAAGTCCAGCATTTCTCACTTTTGAGTGCTTGCAGCTAGAATAATGTTTTCTTGACGGAGTTTTTAAAATTCAATTATGTTTTATGTGCTCCATTTACCTTGCATTAGGAAAACAGAAAACGCTGTAAAAGACTAAGGTCTCAGGTCTTCACAGGTCTCCACAGGCCTTGATGAAACACAAAGATTGAGTCTTCTTTTAAAATAACTGCCCGGCTTCCTAGCTAGTGTAATTTCTGTGTTGCCCATGTAAACATTACACAGAGTCTTTGTACCACCCACTAAGCTCTTTGCTTCAATCAACTATTTGTGCCCAGAAGCACATCCTTATACTTCTTCCTACACCACAGCCATCCTCCTACACCGCAAAAGATGTAACAAAATAGGAATTAATCACAGGCTGGATACTTACAGGGATTGCTGCTGTTTGCTTCTGCCTTCCCAGCCTTGGCAAGTTTGGCCGAGTTCTGCTGCGCCTTGCCCTGCTCCTCTCCAGTTAGCAGGGCTTTTATTTCGGAGGGGATTTTCCCTTGGTCCATCGCCATGCACCACTGCTTGTACTGAAACACGCAAACACATTAGGCATTAGCAAACTGCCAGGATCACATCAGCAGACAAAAGAGAGCTGTAAGCTTCACCTTCCGGTATATTCATTTAAGGTTTGAATTTACTGGGCTGAAGCCTCTTACAAAACTGCAGAGCACTAATGAGCTAAGCACGTGTCCATGGCTGCATACCTGGCCTCAGTAAATCCTGTTTCAGTCAATAAACTGCTACTCAGTGGCAGTACTAGACACAATACTGTAATTATTAAACAACACGGAACACTTTGTGCATATTCTTGCTGCTGGCATGCCAGAATACCGTTCCAGTTCACGGCCTATTAAAAACAAATATTTCACATGACTCGGGCTGACTGACTATGGAGAGGTCCGTTCTGATTGTGCAAGGCACAGTTACAGCACGCGTCTCACTCTTGGTTCCCTCATCTTAAATTCTTCATCGGCAAATCCTGAAGCACATTGAAAAACCTGTGGTCAGTTGGGTGACTTTCCACCCATTCCCAACCCTATTCATTTGTAGTGATTAGCCCTGCCTATATAAACAAACCTAACACAAGGTCAAGGAAATATCCTCAGCTCCGGTGAAGTTTCAAGGGCATCTCAGTATCACCGAGGAGCTGAGTCTGTATTTCCAGATGAAGCATTCTCCTCAGTTAATGCATCTCATTTGGCCAAGACACCCGTCTTCTGCATGCTGTAAACACAGGAGTGCTGTGCAACCATCCACACACGTAAACACAGAGACCACCTTGCAAAAACCAACCTCCCCAACAGTGACCAAGCTCCGTGGGAAGCAATGGCACACTTTGGGCACACGTCCTCCTTGATATTTTCAGATGTCTTTCCACCCTCTACCTCTTTCTACAGAGGTAAACAACCATTTCAAAGGCCACAGACTTCTACGTAACGGCCCTTTCTTTGCTTGCTCCCAGTTCAAAACCAGCAGATAACTTGTGACATGAGGCTCATATTCAACGTGCAAAATCAGCAAACAGCTGAGTGCATCTGTTACCGATGTTTTGATACCTTATGGCTAGCCAAATCCCACTCTCGGTCACAGGGATTTCAAGAACAAATGTCCAAGAGGGCAGGTCCCAAATAATACCGAGGGTTAGGTTAAACGATAGCTTCTTACCATCTCAAGCTCTTCTCTGAGAGCACAGATGGCTCGCTCTCTGCTTGAAACCAGCTCTTCCAGGTACTGGTATCTCAGCTTCTTCCTGGCTCTGCACTCTCTTGCACTCTGACGACTTCTTTCAAGCTTTGCCTTCAAGTCTATTTTGGCTGGTTTACGACCTCGCTTGCCTGGTTTCTTTACCTTGCCTCCAACCACCTGGAAAGGAAGAGTACATTAAAGATCCTTTTCTGCAGAGGGAATGCTGGAGCCGTGTCATTGTGCCTGCTAGGTGCCTCATGTAGAAAATTTTGCATATACTTTCACAGATTCTGAGCAACAGAGGAAAGATATAGTTTGTTTAGAGGGCTACAAATGGAGTTTTCAGTGACAGCATCGAAAACAAAAGGGAGGGATATGACTTTTTCACTCTGAGGGTGACGGAGCACTGGCCCAGGCTGCCCAGGGAGGTTGTGGAGTCTCCTTCTCTGGAGATATTCAAGACCTGCCTGGACAAGGTCCTGTGCAGCCTGCTGTAGGTGACCCTGCTTCGGCAGGGGGTTGGACTGGGTGACCCACAGAGTTCCCTTCCAAAAAAAAAACAGGCTGCCCAGGGAGGTTGTGGAGTCTCCTTCTCTGGAGATATTCAAGACCTGCCTGGACAAGGTCCTGTGCAGCCTGCTGTAGGTGACCCTGCTTCGGCAGGGGGTTGGACTGGGTGACCCACAGAGGTCCCTTCCAACCCCTACCATTCTGTGATTCTGTGACTTCATATTGAAGTCCGTGCTTGAATAGTCCTATTCTAAATGCTGCTAATCTGATTTGGAGGAACAGCATCACAGAACAGCGGAGATTGGCAGGGACCTCTGGAGGTCATCTGGTCCAACCCCCCTGGTCAAGCAGGGCCACCTAGAGCTGGTTGCCCAGGACCGTGTCCAGACAGCCTGTGAATATCTCCAAGAAAGGAGACTCTACCACCTCTCTGGGCAACCTGTGCTGGTGCTCAGTCACCATCAGGGTAAAAAAAAGTGTTTCCTGATGTTCAGAGGGACGCTCCTGTGTTTCAGTTCATGTCCACTGCCTCTGGTCCTGGCACTGGGTAGCCCTAAAGAGAGCCTGTCCTCTTTACACCCTCCACTTCAGCTACTTGTGCACACTGATGAGGTCCCCCAAGTCTTCTCTTCTCCAGGCTAGACAGTCCCAGCCCCCTCAGCATGTCCTCACGGCAGAGGTGCTCCTTCATCACATAGTGGCCCTTTGGTGGACTCTATCCTGTAGGCCCATCTCTCTCTTGTACAGGGGAGCCCAGAACTGGACACACCACTCCAGATATCTAGGAGGATATCTGGGATTCCAAGGAGACGACCAGTCAAACTTGTAGCAAAACTGTTTTATCATTACCAACAACTCCTGCCCTAACATCGTGTTTTAGAGTTGGCAAGTATTACGGAGTTTAACACTTTAATTTGGAAGAAAACAATATTTATTTATATCAGTATAATCCAAAACTTAGTTTTGCTGCAGTAAAACGACCATAGTTTCAGCCTGCACCAAAGAGGAAACTTGTCAGAATTACTTACTAGCCCTCTGAGCTTCCTCTGTCCTGATTTCTTCCAAAGGAACCTTCTGAGGATTCTGACTAAACAGGGAACTTACACTGAGTCCTACCTCTGCTACCTTTGAGTTGTACCTACCCACTCTGGCCGTGTTTACCTTCAAAACAATACCACACAGCCTGGAAAACTGTCTTCTCGCGCCTCCCCATGCAACCCATCCCAACGTTCAACTCTCACAGCACCTGATCTAGCTCTCCCTTGCAGAACCGTAAGCCCTAGTCTCACGTACTAGGGACTGCAGGCTTTGCAATTATTTTCCCCTCTTTGTGGCTCCTTTTTTTTTTTCTAAAGGTCAGAAAGTTTTTCTTGCTACACATAAAAAGCAAGGGTATCGTTTCCTCAAAGTTTACTCTGCGTTTCCCCACCCAAATATCTTACTCTTAACATGAGAGTATGGCACATGAAAGTCTTCAGCATGGTCTGAAATTCAGTACAGCAGCCACAGGGTAGTGTCGCCCTGCAAGCATTGCGTCAGCCACACACCCCACCTCCCCTCTGAAGTGAGGATTTCTCTTTATTTGCATTCTGACCACACTGTTTGAGTGGAGGGGGTGTGGAGAAACACACCTAACACACACACCTGCATGCAAGAAATCCACTGCTGGCTTAGTGTTTCACCATTCTGTGTACAGACGGTACTTCTAACAGGCAGTGTTCAACGTATCAGAGTTCATTATAAAAAAAGGCACTTTTTACTGTGTGATACTACAAAGCAAGTCAGCTTTGACATTCAAAGAAGTCACTTGTTCTACAAACTTAGCAGGCTGCAATAAAAACAATAACATAGTGAACTGATGTGCTAGAATGAAGAAAAAAAGGATTATACAATGGAGCCTATTCTTTCTTTGGAAAGTGAGTCAACAACCACATGCCAACATAATCCTACCCTCTCCATACTGCCTCTCCGAATTTATTCAGGAGTAGCTGCCTACCGTAAGCAAATGGAGGAACAGAAAGTACTTCATGGTCATCTAGTGATAATGAAATAACCATAACACATTCTGAAAAGCAAATGAAAAAAAAAACAAATCAATCTCTTTTATATTTGAACTGCTGAATACAGTTTAAATAATTCATTCACTCCACCTAGGTGCTCTCAAGATCTTCTAGTTCAGATACTGTATTCACCGAAATAATATAAAATTTAGCAGCCATGGCCAAGTGGGAAAAAGGCTCCAACGAAAGGAAATCGACTGTCCCCTTCTGGGCGTGACAAGTGCAGCTCTGTCCTCTCCTGTGACCACACTCCGTTTCTACATGGTGTGACATGGACTCCTAGAGCCAGAAATGCACACCATCTTCCCCGGAGGGGCTGCAGGCACTCACAATTTGTTATCTGTTATTACGTGCACTTGAAAGATTTCTGGATATTACATTTTACACTACAGCCAAAGTACTTCAGTTCTCAACGACTTACAGCACCTGAGGCTTTTCTGTGCCAATGCAAGGGAGTCTAAAGTAAAATCTCTGAATTCAAGAGTTAGATAAGGTCTTGGGAGAGACATACACTGAAGCTCTCTTAAAAAACCTTCGCCACTCTGAGTTCTGACCCTCTAGAAGAGCGGGCCAGCATTCCAGGCTGGAGTCCCAGCACACCACACACTGCCACATGAACACAACGATAACTTGAGCCTTAGTCCTGCGCAGGAGCATGTCACAGCCATGCCCTTTCACCAGAACATCAGGCAGGTGAACAGTTGCTACCACGCTGTTTCTCACAACCAGCAAGTTAAAGCCACTCAGAAACAGCACCCAACCTTTCCGCAGCCAGCATCTCGGGCAGGCACCAGCAATGAAAAGCCCTTGCAAGCAGCACAGCTTCACAGCAGTAAAATCCATCCAACGCCACAATCTCACAAAACAATTTCTTTTTAAGCACCTGTTATTTTAAAGCACCTTCTGCACGTTGACATGCAGCTGGTGCGTTTTTTAAGGTAGGGGGTCACATCAACACAGAAAACTTACAAAGGGCAAGGGAGAGCGGATCTTTATGCCAGTAAGACATGGAGTGAGCTCATGCAAACTCTTCATTTAAAGGCATGTTTTTATGGACAGATCTAGAGATATGGACATAAAATGGTTAAAGGCACTTTGTAGTCTGCAAGGACATTAGACACCGGTGTTGACTGCTCTGCACACTGCAAATGCACCCTGGATCCACCATTCTTCATTAACTGCTTTCCCTTTAGTCGCTCTCGAGAGCATTCCACAGATAGGTGTACCAACGGCTCCCTCCCCCCCAAGACCTTCTACCACGCCGGCAGCCCTGCACACAAGCTCTCTTCTGGGAGGAAAAAGGCTTGTACCTCTCGAGTCATCTCTTGCCAATGCTCTAACCACCAGGACCATGGAAATAATGAAACACTTCTGTCCCTTTTAACTCTGACTTTAAGCAGCAAGACCCTGATAATCTGTCTCCACACCACCCCGAGAAGCTCGTACTGTCTTTTTGGCTCCTGAACTGGAGTTCACTGTACAATCAGGCATCACCCTGCACAGCTCATCTGGTGATTTCATCAAATCCTGCATCCTTAACAGTTTTTCGTCACCGATATTTAGAAGTTCCTGCTGTAACCTTAAGCAGCTGAGCTGGGAAAAAAAAGGCCTGATAAATCCTTTGCCACCATCCCACATTACTGGATCTCCCTGGCTTCTAGTCATGTTTGCCTACTCAGCTGCTATGCTGATGTGACAGAAAGAAGACAAAGCAGAAGTGCTAGTCGATGTTGAACATGGCAGCAGACCAAGGGGAAAAAAAAAAAAAAAACAAAACAAGCAAGCAAACATTTTTTTAATTCCCTTTGTATTCCTCCAGAGTTTATAAAGGGATGGGATCTATTAGCATTCAGCAGCAGGGATTTCTTTTTTCCCAGGGAGTCACATGTAATTAAGACAAAGAACTGTATTAATCATAAAATTGGTCATAGAAATTTCAATAACGACATGCATTTGCCAGAAGTCTGACCAAGCTCCTATTTCAGTTCACTCAGACTTCAGCAAACAGAAAAACATCACTCCCTCCCTCTTCAAGACAGTACTTTGATCACAACATCATTCCTGTCTGACATCAGTGTTCAGGTACAAACTTACTTGACCTGGAATAGGAAACAGCTTCCATTACTTGCCATGATATAAAAAAAGCCCTCAGGTTTCCAGATTTTTCATTTCCACACCCCACTACTAGCATTCACACCCCCGAGGAACTGAGCCACTGGGATAGAAAAATGCGATAAAGCTGGCCTCACCGTGACATCTGCAGGTTTGGGACAATTTAGCAGATTAAACCAACGCTATCAGAAGCGCTGCTGGGCACGACCGATCAGCAGTGGAGATCACATCAACCGGTTCTGCATCTTCCAGCAGCTCTCAGTTCGTTCACAGATAACAAACAGCTCTCAAGTGCCAGTACTTGAGATCCAGCTCAGGGAGTCATCTTAAGCAGACTCCTGTTTGTGTTAGTGGCTGAAATAGGGCTGCAGCATCTAACTTAGCATGGAGCTGATGACCATCTACAGAATTTATGTAAAACTATAAAAATTATTACCAAGAAATAAAAGCAAACCTAAGCACTGCATTTCATTACAGTAGAGAGGGGAGGAATCT